TTCCAATATTTTGTTTGTTTGTTGAATATTTATTTAGCATTAATGCCACAATGTCAATTTTGTATAATTATTCGTTTACACATTTTTTGAATCCATTTTCTGTAATTTTAGATTTTTGTCTATTAAAATTACATCACTATGCATTTTGAGTAATCATAGTGATTTTTTAATTTCCCCTTATACATCTTCAAATTCGAACACTATTTAATCATAATCAATTTATTAAATTAAAATACTCCCTTTTGAAATACAGATTTGCTAGTTATGCTACTATTACAATTCTGCAGATAAAAATCTATACTGCCTCTAGTTTAATAGTTATGATGATGACTATCCAATTTAGAGAAGTTTTCTAAATGTGGTGGTAATAAATGATTTTTTAATTTGAATATGAAAGTGAGAACTGAATAACATGAAATTTTTTACATTCAACCACTGTAGTTCTTCTAACATACACTTAAACATAGAACATTTGTTTTTATTTAAAATGATTCTGAAGTTTTATTTTGTAGAATTTGTAATTTTGAAAATATGTTTTCACAAGATGGTTGAAGTATATAAAAAATGGGGAAGAATTATAGTGTTATACACAATTTTTTGGAATACATACTAAGATTAATGGAAACTCCATAGAAGAAATTTATCTTTTTTGATATTTTTGAAACAATGTATTCATAATGCTCGCGAAACAGTAGTTTACCATCCACATATATTTCAACTTTTTCATCATTAATCATTACCCTAAATGTTCCCTATTGACATACATTTTGTTTTATTAGTGTTTAAGTTTATTAACATTTAACAAATTCATAATTTTTTTAATATTACTATTTAACAGTTCTAAAGCAGTGTCCAAATGCTTATGTCTCGTATGTATATATCAATGTATCGTTCGCAAATATTTCAATTTTGCAGTGTTCAAAAATGTCAGAGATAACAGTTATATAAATAATAAATAGCAACGGCCCTAATTTACTCCCCTGTGGCACCCCTACTGATATAATATATTGAACGCTTGACATAATATTTCCAAATTTAGTTTTTTGAGTTCTATTTACTAAATAATCTTGTAAAATGTTTAATACTGATCTTTTAAAACAATAGTGATGCAATTTTTCCCTATCTATAGTATCAAATGCCCTTTTGAAGTCTAAAAATACTGTTACAATACATTCTTTCTCATCTATATTTCTCCAGTCTTTCACCAATATTTGGACTGCTGTTTCTGTGGAATATTTTTTCTAAACCCAGCTTGATTTCTTGTCAAAATTTCGTTTTCTTCAATGATTTGTTCGTATATTATCCCTTCGGGAACAGCTTCTTGACATCTGGCAAGACATTAATCGGCCGCAGGAGTAATTGAGGAACACTTTAATAATAATTCCTCTCCAATTATATTGAAATAATCATTTAGAATTTTTTTTTGAGAGATTCTCAGTTGGATTTTTATTAGATTTCAATTCGGAGACAGCTTTTCTTAGATTGCTAATGTTTATTGTCCTAAATTGATTCATTGATGAATTATGATATACTTGTAATATGATCTAGTGTAGTTGGTGTGTACCAATAATAAAAAGAAATATGTTTGTCCAAAGAGAAGCGACGAAGTATCGTGTCGGTTGCATATGTTTTGTGAAGCCGAGTAGTCTATAGTTTTTATCTATGAGAATAAAGTTGGTTGAATAGCAAGATCGCAACTGGATGATTGTGTTTATTGGTCCGCATATGTATAAAATCAGTGATATTTGCTGTGTGAGAAAATCATTACTGAATATGCTGCCAATGAAGTACAATATCTATTAGCAGTGCCCGTCGGGTTATTTATGTGTTATCCTTTCTGAATACAGGTTACCTATGTTCAAAGTTATAAATTACGATTTTTTTCGTTTTTTTTTTAATTTTCGAAAACTTTGAGGAGAATTACGGGAAATCACCATCGCCCTCGCGTTGTGTGTAATTACTGTTAGCATGTATATGATTTGTAATTCGACAGTGTACAGTGAATATAATTATTTATCTTTCTCATTTTTGAAATTCAGCAAATCTGGATATGTAATTTCCAGAGTGCATAAAAAAATAGTGGATGCGCAACAAATTTCTAGCTTTGAATCTCAAGTAAGTGTATTTGAGACAAGAATCCAATGGAATTATCATCAACCCATATTATTAGCACGCAAATCCTCACTATGCACCTATATATTGCCGTTAATTCCAAAAATGTAATCTCTGAGGCAGATTTTACATCACATCAGAGCCAAACATTGACAACTGAAGCTTCATGACGTTTAGGCAACACATACAACTAGAAAACGAGTTCACAACGTCTCCATCAACTAGTGCTAAGTTAACATCTTGTACAGAAATCTACATGACACAAAAAATCAATAAAATGTAAAAAAAATCCAAAGAACGCTATGAAAAGGAGCACGGAAAGTGGTTCTAGTCCAAGAACACATCCTCAACCACGGAAGAAATCTTCCTGGCATATTACGCAAACATAAACAACGTGTGTGAGCCTTCAACATTATGATCACGTTATTCTATGCTGAAAGCTACGCTCAAAATAAGAAGAAATATCGATACTGCAAAATATTATAAGGTAACAGCTTTCCTTAAAATACTGGATTTCGTGCCAAAAAATCAAACATTTTCACGAAAGCAGACTTGGCCAATTGATCTTATGGTAAAAGTAGCTACATTGCTTGAATTATCTTGCGCCTGTCGTCGGGACAAATTGGTAGTCGACGATATAGAAGAAAAGAAAAAAAAACTTTTTTGATAGTAAAGATCCCTAACACCAAAACGCACAGCACCAGAATGTTCGTGATATCCGAAGAATCATCAAATGGTAAATATTTAGCACTGTACCGCAAATATGTATCAATTAGTCTACAATCCACACCACATCGTAGATTTTTCATTCAATATAAAAATGTATGTACCACCCAATGCGTCGGGGCCAATACCTTTCGGGAAATGCCCGCTGAAATCACAGGTTGTTTAGGATTACCTAATCCTGAGTTTTATACTGGTCATAGTTTTCTGCGATCTTCTACCACAATGTTGGAAGACTCTGATGCGACTATCCCTGACATCAAGAGACACGGCAACTGTCTTCATGTGTGGCTGAAGGGTATATAGCGGAATCGTTAGAAAATGAAAAAGATACTTCCAAGAAAATACTGGAAAACAACTTACATATCAAGTCACAAAGCACAAGCAGTGCCATTTCTACAGGACGTTCTAGAGAACACGACATTTTAGAAGAAAGCGACGCCGGCAGCACTAGTTCTGCTACGAGAACGCCTACAAGTTCTCATAATCTAAATAACTGATCTTTTACTTTTAATATTGTTAATAATTATTATAAATGATTGATGTTGTTGTTGATGATGTTGATTTTACAATTATTAAATTTCTAATAAAAATAGTACATATTTAAAGTTTATTATTTTCTCGCGCTGTGCTGTTAGAAAAAATCTGATACCCAACTCTTGCGGAAAAGTATCACTTCCCTCACTTGTTAGGTAAATAACTACTGTGTTGTATGACAAAAAGATTTAGTTACGGATGATTACCAAATTCGTAAATTTTGATTTTTTAATAGTTATGTTCATGTTTTGATGAAAACGGTCAGTGTTTTGAGTTACCAAGTAATATGTAAATTGAACTCACTAATGTCCTTATTATGTGATGCCTTTCGCGTCGTTAGTGCAATTGCAACAATGACAAGATGCAATTTTGTTTGAAATCCCATCTCAAATAAAGTCAGAAAAACATAAAAGTTATTTGGTATGTGAAACAAATGACTATCTGATAATTTCAAGGACAACCTAGGAAATTCTGCTTCTCTGAAAGTTTGGCAATGTCAATGTATGACATATACATTTTTGGAATCAGAATTAAAAACTCAATTCATCTGTGCAAAAATTCAATATGGCCTCTATAAGAAAAATAATGTTGATGCTGGAGAACAAGATACAAAACGTCATATTGAAATTCTAAGTATGGCTCCTGGTAGAGGAAAAAAATGTTAATGTGCAATTCATTTTGAAATCCCACTACTAATAGTCAGGAAAAATAAATATGATAATTGGTTTATTTAAGCCATGTATCTCTCACAGTTTCCAAGATCCCAATGGTGAGGGTCAACTTTGAATCACCCTGAATATAGGACAGGGTGTGATCTGACTCATAAGTGTCTGAAAACTGAAAATACTTTACATTTACTAGAAATGCTTCAAAAGCATGTCTTCTAGTTAGAAAATTAATCTGTATATGGGCTTGAGGTATTTGAAATTGCAAATAACTTCAAAGCTATGGGCATTACAATTAAGCATGTACCAGATTAAAAAATGGATGTGGGGCTTAGTCTACACACATACCACATGAATGTGGGATGTCTAGTAACCTTCAACATTCAATGATTGTAGGCATACAGGTATGGAAAACTGAGTTGTTGCTCAGATTGTTACTTGTTACTTTGAGTACCTATGAGTAATAGTTACTTTTTCAACAACTCTAATGCCAACTATTAGATTTTCAGTGCCAACACCTCAACTTTTATCACTTTCAATTAATTTTGGATAATCTAATCGTAATTTTTCTGAATTCTATAGATATACACATGAAGGAATACTTAATTTTTAATTTGAACATTGTACCCTTCAATTAAATGTTTGAGCTATCATAAAGTGTCGACATTTAGGTATTTTACCCTATGTATGAAAAACTAAATTTACTCATTCTGTAGACCACTTTATCATCATGATTTGAAAAAGTTGTGCAAATTGAGTTTAGGGACAACTGGGTTAAGAAATTAATTAACCACTATTTGTTCTAGTTATATGTCAAGTTAAATGATTTGGTTCCATTTGATCAATATATCATACAATTACATTACAATCCAAACTATTTTGTTGGGGATCTTCGCACATTATTTTGTATCAATTGTATAATTAAAGCATACTTGTATCCTTCAGTTCATTAAAACAACATACCAGTGGCTCGACTCCTACACTATAATGAAACATTTGCTTCACTGTACCAAAAATGCTGCAATAACTGTTTAGTTCCTTATAAGATTGTGGTGACTGCACTTGCACCAGTAAACTTCGCTTAGCTTCAGCTCTTCTCAAGTTAACGTTCTGTAGAAATGGTATAAATCCACCACGATCATGTTCAAAGTTTGAGGATGTCTTGTCTGTAAAGTAACTTGTGCTGGTGAAATAAGTATTTTGGATCTTAATAAGAATCTCTAGCCTTCTAAATTTCCATATATGGCGTTGTGAACAAGTCCTGAACATGTTTGCACTTTCCTACATACAAATTTTTATTCAACTAATCTATTTTATTTTGAAATGTTTCTCAAAATAATGTTAGGTTAAAGTCACAACACGTAAACGTAAAGGATCACAAAACAGATATACTGAAGAAGGCACAAAGCACATAATACTGAAGAAGTGGGAGCTGCACGTTAAACAATGGCAACTCCGCTGACGTTTGGGAGATGGTTGCCCCACATACTTGCGCAATACAGAAAACACTAATGTAATTCATAATTCTTTTTTTTTTTGTAAATAAGCTAGTCACTTTCAATTAGTTTGCTCAGTTTTATACCTTTAATTTGTTGGCCCTTCATACTGTATATAACGGTGTTAACTACAAATATTGTAAAGAGGCTGTAGCACTTTATGACATGACAGCCTCCTGAACTTCTGCATCTCCCACAATAGTCACAATACATCTCACGTATACCATCACAGCTACTGATAGTGTTGCTTTATATTTATGCTCATTTTTCACGAAATATCTCCAAAAGCATCAGCGTTGATAATCTAGATATTAACCAAAACAAACGCAATATTTGATATTTTTACATTCAGTGTATTCAGACAGAAAACACATAAGACCGACGAAGGGACGAAGTGGGAGCTGCACCATTGGGAGTCAACTCATATGGCAGAATGGGAAACAGTGCGGTGTTGCCGAACCACAACCTGACAACACTGTTGGCATCCAGAAAAAATGGCGGCTTTGACAAGTTGACGGTTTATTGCTGTCATATTTTTAGTTAACCTCTCTTTTATTCCTGTTTGGATGGCTGGGCTGGATGCAATGAACTGTCAACACTGATGGAATCGCCGCGTCCCATTTATACAATGAAACGATAATGCGGCCAACAGACGACAAAGAGGTCCGAGAGAGAGATGGAGCTAGTCAGGGCAAAAAGCGCGCGGACTTGAATGAATTGCATAGGAAACCGAGGATTCTTAGAGATTTAAAGGTTATTCAGGCAACTGGAACGAGATAAAATCCTGGAAACGTAATTATAATTAAAAAACCAAGTTTATTTATTTATATATACATATGTATGAAATTTGACAATTAATTCTCCTTTACACATTTGAAGATATAAAAATTAGTATTTAACATAAGTAATTAATAATTCAGGCAGCAAAGAGATTACCTGTCTGCTTATAATTAACTTAACTGCTCTAATATGCTATATCTTACATATAAAAAATAAGAGATCTAAGAAATATCACAATAAATACATGTTATGCACATTTAAGTTTATTTTTATAGTACTGTAGCTATCAACACTAAATGTAGTGGGAACACGTCCAGTTTTGTAGAGATTAAAGTGTACAAAGAAAAAACGCTTATTTATATATATATATAGAGGAGAAGGTCTAAATATAGGCTAGGGTCTAAATATAGGCTAGGGTCTAAATATAGGCTACTTGATACTGTGGTTTCCTACTTACTGGCAAAGAGAAGGCAACAGCGCACAATGATGTCTCGTCAGTCAAACCGTTGGCGGTAAAAGATCGGTTGTGTTCATTTGACATGTGTAGATGTTATGTTCCACGGTGTGCTATATCCTGTGATTTAGCGACTCGGAAAGTTTATAAGGTATGTTTATTTTCTTTTTGACACTGTGATCTTTTGAACTTAGAACTGATCTATTTCATTAATGATTTTAGTGACATACTAAGGTTATTCTTACATAGGTTACATTTGCTATAATGTTGTTCACTAATATTTGCCACACACCTATTCTTTTTGATAACGATGGTCCAAATATAGGCTACAAAGTGTGGTCCGAATTTGGGCTAGCCCGAATTTGGACCTTTATTTAGTATTACGACTTATTTTGGTTTCAGAATGCCGCGCAGCAATCCAAAATATGTCAAGAAAGATAAAAGGAAGTCGTGGAAGAAAGAAGACATGGAAACAGCAATTACAGTGGTTCGAGAAAAAAAGATGGGAACCTTAAAAGCGGCAAAAACTTTTAATGTGCCTCGTACAACCCTACAAACTTTGAGTAAAAAACTTGACCTTACTCCAGCACAAGCAGTTTGTACTAAGCTTGGGCGAAAGCCTTACTTGGGTGAAGACTTGGAAAAAGAGTTAGTTTCCTACTTACTCATAATGGAGCAGAAGTTTTATGGGTACACTATCCGAGATTTGCGCAGAATGGCTTATCAAATTGCAATTAGAAATCATCTTGAAACGCCATTTAACCGTAACGAGGCCGGCAGATCTTGGGTGGATCTTTTTTTAAATCGTCATAAAGAGCACCTATCTATTCGGAAACCATGTGGAACATCTTTCTCAAGAGCTTTAGGCTTCAACAAAGAGAATGTTCAGAGTTTTTTCAATATGCTCGAAGAGGCTTACGAAAAACACAAATTTCCAGCTGAGAGAGTGTTTAATGTTGACGAAACAGGACTTTCTATTGTTCAAAGCAAAATTCCTCATGTCATTGGTCGAAAAGGAAAAAAGCAAATAGCAGCCTTGACTTCTGCAGAGAGAGGTTCTACCGTAACGATAATTGCATGCATGAGTGCTTCTGGAGTTTTCGTCCCTCCTCTAGTGATCTTCCCAAGGACAAATATGACTCAAATCCTAATGAAAGGATGCCCTCCAGGTTCAATAGGGAGAGCTCACCCCTCAGGATGGGTTCAAAGTAATATTTTTACAGACTGGTTTGCTCATTTTATTGAGAAAGTCTGTCCGACAGAAAACTCGCCAGTTCTGCTGATTTTGGACGGACATTACAGTCACGTCCGAAATCCAGATTTAATTGACATGGCCCGAAAGAGCTTCGTGACAATAATTTGTCTTCCACCGCACTCTACACATAAACTGCAGCCGCTCGACAAGACATTCATGGGACCATTAAAAGCTTTTTATAGTGAGGAAGTAAGACAATTTATTAGACATTCAAACCGCGCTGTTACACCATATGACATCATGGAGCTCTTTGGGAAAGCTTACCTTAAGGTCCAGACGGGAGATATTGCAGTCAATGGTTTCAAGGCAACCGGAATTTTTCCTTTGAACAAAAATATTTTCACAGAGGCTGATTTCATAGCCTCTGAAATCGAAGCAGAGAAAACATGCAATGCACCCCAGGCTGATCAGTCAAAGGTGGTAGGATCTACATCATCTTCCCATGCATCATTTTCTCAATGCTGCTCTTCAAGCACTCCAAAGAATCTACCTGGACCATCGAAGCAAATTAGCCCTTTTCAAATTGCCCCAGTACCAACATCAAGAAAAAGGTCACAAATCGTGGTCGCAAGTCTTCAAGTGCTTGTGTGATCACAGATACACCATACAAAGAAGAGCTTTCGAAGAGCCTGGAAAAGTCTGCAGCGAACATGAGCAAAAAAAAATTGCTATTTAACGATTTTGATGGCTCAAAAAAAAAGAGCAGCAATAAGATGACAAAAAGACCAAAAATAAGCTCAAAACCGGAGTCAGAATCTTCAGATTCTGATGGTGACTTACCCGACGACAGTTCGAGTGACATTGAAAGGCCTAATGGACATTACCCAGACGATGAGGATGCAAGTTGCTTATTTTGCAATGGAATGTTTTCAGAAGACACTAGAGGAGAAGTTTGGGTGAAGTGTTTTCAGTGTTTTATGTGGGCACATAGTGACTGTGCGGGTGCTGAAAAGGACATTTACATATGTGACTTTTGTAAATAAGTTTTATATTTTGTCTCCAAGACTTTTTGTCGATAAACTTGTGTTTATTGTTTCAAGCCTGACGTAATGGCGATAAGCATTTGTGCAACAGTTATTATTTGGTTTTATAGTTTAAACTGTTTTTTTAATAATATGATTATTGATAACATTTCATACCTAGAATATCTTTTTTTGAAATACTGTGAAACCACGGGCAATATCTAGATGTATTTTGATGGTAGCCCATATTTGTACCCTACCTGCAAAATCTTGTATTTTACCTTTTATAGAAATAAATATTGTAAAGTGAAAGCTTTTCATATTTAGACTATTTTTTCCCGGTATTATTACATACATATGTTCCAGCTATGCTATACTAGGCCTAATATTAAAACAAATATGAACATTGTATTTTAAATAAATAAAAACAAAGCACCAGCCCGTATTTAGACCTTCTCCTCTATATATATATATGTATACAAAATATTTGTGCACAATGGCATTAACAATACCGTAGATGCACAGTTTTTCATTATAATACAATATAGGTTTTAGGTTATACCATAGTTCATTCTAGAAATTATGTATTCATGTTTTCTTTTCAAAACCCTTCGATGGCTAGGTTCTTTCTTGAGATGGGCTGGAAAATCAAATACAGATGGAACTGCCACCTTTTTTAGTACCTTATTTCCATGAACACTAACTTCTTAATCCTCTGGAGTGAAACGCTTTTGACAAATTACCGTTGTACTGGGAGTAAAGTTTTCTCTTCTTATAGCATGTAACCACAACTTCCTCATGTTAGGATCTGTAGGTATCCTAAAAATCCAGATATTTTCTCGAATTACCAATTAACAGGTAATTCACACACAAAAATGAATGGGATGATTAAAACCAACCTGTGAAACTTCATTTTCACATCTTTTCTGCGTCTATTGCAACAATTCACCGCACTGCAAGATTCAACCATTTTTAAACAAATATCACATAAAAAAACAGCTCCTGAAGGCTGTCAGGCATAAAAATGTTTATAATAATTGTCGCAAACTATCACTATTAATCTTTAACGTCACTAAAAACAAACATTCACCAAAAATCCTTAGAACATAATATATGGAAATACCACAATGGACCACGATGTTTTGCCCTGACTAGCGCTATCCTTCTCGTTTCTCATTCTAGCCGCAATGAATTCGCGTTAAGGCGGCTACAGACATGTGAAATGTGGCATTATTTGCGAACTGTTTGTCCAAATATTTGCAAAGTACCAAGCATACATCTACATACATGTGTTGATGTGCCAAGTTTCAAGCAAAATTCGGAAACGTCAAATTTTGTTGTTTGCTGTTTGTTTGCAAATATGGATATAGAAACCGCAGCTGCAGCTTTTCTTGTTATAAGTAGTGCCTATTTGTTACTAAAGAAGAAAAAGAAAAGAAAGTCAAGAAGATGGTGGACGGTGTCACTTATCAGAAGCAGAGAAAGGCAAGTTTGCAGATTGGAAATTAAGAAATACATAGTTTAATAATGTAATCTTTACTTGTAGATACAGTGGCAACAATTTGTTGGCAGATCTGTTAAAAGAACCTTCTGGTTTCTTTGAAAACTTTTGTAGGATGTCTTCTGAGGATTTTAAAATTTTACTTAATATGGTAGAGTCGTATATTGTAAAGAAAAACACAAAATGGAGAAAAGCCATTCCAGCAAATGAACGTCTGGCCATAACATTGCGATTTCTAGCCACCGGTGACAGCTTTAAGAGCCTTTGCTATCTTTTCAAAGTTTCATCCCAGTTGATATTAAGCATTGTTCCTGAAGTTTGCATGGCAATAATAAAAGTATTGGGAGGTACAATAAAGGTAAGGTACAATTTGTAAAATAATATATATTGAACGTAATTTATAGGAACATAACAAATCTCTCTGGACAAATTGGAGCATATAATAGAAATAATAGCAATCTTAAAACTAAAATATTTCACTGAAAAGTTGTTAAAAAAGTTGCGATTGTTATATCTTCGTTGGACTGTAATGAATTAACATCGTCAGTTACAGTGTTGATAGAACGTAACTCTGGTTCCGAGTGATAGGAATGGGAAACATCTGAGACTGGTGAAGATGAAATCTGTGAATGGGATAGAGAGTAGGGTTGTGAACATCTGACATCTGTCGGTTGTGGAACGACGTGTGTTTGAGGAGCAGGCGGGTGTTCATTACCTGAGCAACAGGTATACTGATACTGAGAATAACCCATTTTTGTGCGAAAAACGATATTATCTATTTGATTCATTACGATGTCGTGCTTTCGCTCATCCATTTTGCGCAGTTTAACAGCAAGAAATTCGCAATATAGATCGCAGTCATCTTTGTTATTTTTTTTCTTAAGTATAGAGTATGCTTCTTGCATTTGTGTATGCAGGGCTTCATCTGCTGCTAACGAACCTCTCATTTTCTTCTTGCTAGGAACCTTGAAAACGCTTTGTGGGGAGGATTTAGATAATATTGTTCCAACATTTTCACTTCCATTTGTTGCATCAGTTACATCATCCTGTATTTGTTCCGGTTTGTCACCTTCGCTGGATTCCTCGTCTAGCTGTGACAGAATATCCTAAAAATCACCAAATTAAAATGTTATTATCCTAGAACGCCATTTGTCTCTATTGTCTTAAAATAATAATAATATTATCATTAATACTAATTCTATTTCCATTTTTTTTTCACGGTTTTGGCTGGTTAAATTTATTCAGATGAAGAAGAATTCACTTCGACCAACTGATATTATTATTTTCGTTATTATTATTATTAGTACCATAATATTCATAATCATTGTGGCTCAATAATTGTATGTATGCACTTTCAGATGCCTACATCCCAAGAAGGGTGGAGAAGTATATCAAACGACTTTGAGAGATTGTGGAATTTTCCCTCATTGTGTGGGCGCCTTAGACGGAAAGCACATAACTATACTGTCTCCTATTAACAGCGGATCCGAATATTACAATTATAAGAATTATTTTAGTGTCGTACTAATGGTTTTGGTAGATGCAAATTACTGCTTCATATATGGAGATTGTGGTTGCCAAGGCAGGCTTAGCGATGGAGCAGTATTTCGGAGTACTCAGTTGTTTACCAAAATGGAAGGTAATAGGTTAAATTGGCCTTTGGATGAATTCTTTAATGGTACCAACCCCCAGATGCCATATGTCTTCATAGGTGATGATGCATTTCCTTTAAGCACGTGTATGCTGAAGCCGTTCCTGGGCGAGACGTGTAGTAGAGAATGTTTTTGGAGTAATGTCCTTTGTATTTCGAGTCCTACCAATGCTACTTGAGGCAAAAAAGCGACAATTATTACTATGGCTTGTGTCGTGCTGCATAATTTTTTGAGAAACAGTATAACTTCACGGTCACAATATTCACCTCCGGGAATGTTTGATGCTGGAGAAGAAGTAAATATCGAACCAGGTTTCTGGCGTCGTGATCAAGATGACATAGCATCACTGTTACCTTTTAAGAAGGTGCCAAGAAAAGCAAGTATGGAGGCAAAAATTATTCGGGTTGAATTTGCTGAATATTTCATGGGAGAAGGTCGGATTGATTGGCAAAACAATTATTGTTAAATCTTGAAATTTGTACACAGTGTCAGGCATAAGTAGCGCTTATTTGAAAAACCGTAGGAAATAAAAAATAAATAAACGGTTCTACTAACCTCTGAATTTATTGTTTTCTTTGGTTCGTCCTTATTCCTCAAAAAACGTGACATTATTTCAAAGGCAAACCAAGTGGGTCTATAAATATCACTGGCACCTGCTCTACTTTTACTACTTTCTTTTACTTTATTCAAGCATGTTCGAAATGATGACATTAGTGACTCCTTTTTCTTTTTAAGTCGAATATAGAACAAGGTGTGCTTAATTTATTCTTTATCCGTAACCATGCATCATATGATGATTTGGGCGATAATGATAGCATTGTTCAAAACATATTGTCTTTAAACAACTTGAACGATGAAGATTCTTCAACCTCGATGAAAGTAGTCACAAAGTTAAAGCTGAGGGATTCAAAAAATATGCACCTAGTTCTAGAAGTGTCTCCAGCTATTAGAAAACTTCTACTAGCAAAAGGTTTCGTCTACGTAGGATGGAAGAGGTGCAGCGTAGTTGATCACCTCAATATTATGCAGTGCCGAAAATGCTGTTCATTTGGTCACCTTGAGAAGAACTGTGCATCTAATGTATCTACGTGTCTTAAGTGTTCTAGTGGCCATTCTTATAAAAATTGTGACAGTGATTCTGTGAAATGTGCAAACTGTGTACAGTATAACCGTAAATATCGTACAAAAATAAATGTTGAGCATGCTGCATCGGATAAAACATGTATGCTTTTTGAGAACCATGTTCTCAGTCTTAAAGCTAGAATAGATTATGGATAAGTTAGGATCAATGAAGCTTGGTCATCTGAACGTGCGATCTCTTATGTCCGACTTTGCTGCAATTTTGATCTGATTCAGACTGAAGCGGTTGGGTATTTTCGCTGTAAGTGAAACATGGTTGAGCCAAGACATTACCAATGATGCGATGAGTATCAATAATTACAATCTGTTCCGTAGTGACAGGGGATCCCGCGGTGGCGGAGTAGGAGTCTACATATCCACTGACCTTCAGGTCGAAATTATTAACTTTGACAACAGCTTTGGGAATTGCTTGGAACAACTGTGGGTCAGCATAAAAATAAACAGATACCTCTTGCTTTTGGGTGTGTTGTATAGACCACCCTCACAAAACCTCAATGATTGCATCAGCGCTCTAGATCTCATGTTACCGTTAACGTCAAACAATTTTGATAACATTGTTATTGTAGGAGATCTGAATGTTGATATTTTGAACGGTAACAACGTCCTCTCTCCATGCTTTCAAATGGTGTTTTTTTCTCAAATTGTCAGTGATCCTACAAGAGTGACAAGTAACACAGCATCCTTATTAGATCCAGTTTTCACTAATAAACCAGACATTATTTCCGACTGTTTGGTTCTTGATTCTAACGGCATATCTGACCACAAAATGGTATCGTGCACTCTCTCCATTCCTGATTTGAAAAATAAACAACGGTTTGTAACTGTAAGGAACTTCAAGTGCTTCAACGAAGAATATTTTCTAAGTGACTTAGCTTCTGCAAATTTAGACGACTTATTTTTTATGAACCATATAGATGCTAAAGTTGAGTTCCTAACAAATACACTGATGAGAGTTTATGATAAACATGCTCCTGTAACTACTTTTAGAGTAAACAAACCACCTGCTCCATGGCTATCTCCCCGCCTACGTGACGTTTTTAAAGAAAGAGATATTGCCCATACTACATATAAAACAAATAAAACTGTAGAAAACCTAAATATTTATAAGCAAAAAAGAAAGCACGCGCTTACCCAGGTGAGGAAAGAGAAAAGAGCATATCTACAATTTTTATCTGAACAGAATGACGAAAAAAAGGTATGGATTGGCTTAAAGCAGCTTAATATACATTCTCGGACAAAAACCCCTCTTCCAGATAATCTATCTGATCCAAATAAAATCAATGACTATTTTATGTCAGTTTACAGTACAAATAATGTCTCGGAAGAATTATGTCACCTATACAAAAATCGTCACTTCTTTCCACCTGATTCTTTTTCATTCAGAATCATTGATCCTTCAGAAATTCTACAAACTATTAAATCTCTTAAATCAGATGCCAAAGGAATAGATGGTCTTACGCTAACTATGGTAAAGGTAAGCCTACCCGTTATATTTTTCCACTTAGTTCACATTATCAATCTATGTCTTGAAACCGGTTACTTCACTAAAATTTGGAAGCAAGCACTGATAATACCTTTAGGAAAAACTTTGAAACCCGGTCTCCTATCAGATCTTCGACCAATCAGTTTACTACCTATTTTGTCAAAAATCCTTGAAAAGATTGTACAACTTCAACTTACATCATACATTGAAGTACATCAGATAATCCCACCTAATCAATCGGGATTTTGAAAACATTATAATACAACATCGGCTTTAATAAACATATATGCGACAACATCTTTCGTGTTCTGGACAAAAAAATGGGTTTAGCTTTAATATCAGTCGACTACTCTAAAGCCTTCGATAAGATAGATCATAAACTTTTATGTGCTAAGCTACGTTCTGTTGGTTGTGATGAGCTTGTAATCAAATTTTTTGAAAGCTATCTTAAAAACAGGACTCAATGTGTTTCAGTGAAGGGTATTACATCTGATGTCACTCGCATACCTTCAGGAGTGCCTCAGGGTTCCATTTTGGGACCTCTTTTGTTTTTAATCTATACATTTGACTTATCTAGATCAGTTTACAACTCTGATATTCAATCGTTCGCTGATGACACCCAGCTCTCGCATTGTTTCGGTATAGAAGATATACAGAGCACTGTCCAAGTATTACAAGCAGATATTGATAGTCTTTGCAAATATTCAGCAGATCACAACCTCAGCATAAACCCGGAAAAATCTAAGATTTTAATGTTTTGTTCAGACAGCAGAAGGAACGACGTTGTTTCGCTCTTAAATGTGAACATAGACAATAAGCAGCTTGAGCTCACCAATAGCGCAAAAATATTGGGTGTAGAAATTGATACAAAATTAAGATTTACCGAGCATGTAAAAAATCTGACACACAAAACCTATGCACGTTTACGCAGTCTTTATTCAAACAGATATCTGCTAAACTTCAAAATGAGGAAAAAACTTCGTTGTGTCTGTCTTGAACTACTGCAGTATTCTATATTTTCCCTGTTTGGATCAGATCACTAAACACAGAATCTAATTGATTCAAAACAGCTGTGTTCGCTTTATATTCGGCATGAGAAAGTTCGACCATGTCTCTCACAAATATGCAGAGTTGAGATGGCTAAAGTTTGACCAGTGGGTCAAGTTACATTTTTCCACATTTATCCATAAAATTTTAATTAATTCTAAGCCAGAATACCTATGTGAAAAAATTATTTTTAATAACACCATTCACAATAGAGCTATTAGAGACAGGCACGTTATCAGAATTCCGAAGCATACAACATCTCTGTTCCAACGAAGTTTCTCATATAACGTTGCAGCAATATATAATTCTTTGGACAGTAAATTTAAGACCATGAGTTTACCATGTTTCCGCTACAATGTTAAGTTGAGTTATTTGAACGATTCAATATTTCATAGACCTTTTTAGAGTAGCAGTATGTGCACACAAAATATCTCATTTTCCACTTCTCATATGGGTTGTAAGTGATTTGTTATATATATTTTGCATGTTTTTTCCTGCTAGCTGTTAACAACGTAATATTTAACTTTAGTGGTTAAGTGTTAGAGTAGCATATTGCTAAACTTCGCCACTATAGTTACACTTTATATATATATATATATACATGTATTGTATATATTATTTAATAAAGACGCTTATTATTATTATTATATACGTCGTTCCTATTTTTATGTTGAATATGCGAAGCATCCCATATTGCAGATTCCTCTTCGTACAATTCTAAAAACTCCAGCACAAGTTCGTTTGTCCACTCCATCTCGAACACGGGCACACTTCCTTAGCACTGCGATATCAATATTTAAATACGGGGGCATGTGTGTATCTGAAACAACTACGCACAATCTCAAATATTTGTCTCCTTTGATTTGTACTTATTTACCGGCAATTGATTGGAAATATTTGAATAACAAATATTTGTGTATTTTCATATAGTGTTTGTCTGAGATATTTGCCAAATATCAAACATCTGCTGTTTGAAAGTTGTAGCCGCCTTTACGCCTGTTCCATCAGTGTTGACAGTTCATTGGTTGGATGTTTGGAAGGTAGGTTTTTAGTAACTACACACTATCAAAATCGTTCTTATAACTACATTTTTTGTTGAATTGATGATCTTTGGAATCTGGAGTATAACACCTAACATGTTGGTGAAATTTTATAAGAGAACAACTCATTTTCTTCTAGGTGATTGTAATCGAAAAAGGCAGTATCCTGGTCGCTTGAAATTGGAAAGATGTATTTGTTAGAACATTACAACTATAGAGCATTTCTGCTTGATTCAACAGTCACAAATGTTGAATGCTTGAAACATTGAAGGAACAAGAGTTGAAGACGCTTCATTCCACTGCCTGCCAACCCATGGTGATCAGAGATAGTTGGAATATAGATTTACCTGCTTGTCTTTTCTCTTCAAAGCTTATATCTCGACAGTTGAGTGATTCAGGACAACGGCTAATGTGTTTCACAATTATGGCTAATGCAAGTTTATGTCAAATCGATCGATTTATAGTGGCTCTCTTTTAATCATATTTTTCCTAAAACTCTTGTATTCACTGTTATGGAAAGTGATCAGATATCACTGAGTTATAATTCTTATGAAAAATCTGGTAACTCTCTTACAGTTGTTAACAATAACTATTATTTCTTTCAATTTGCTTTCAACACTAATTCTAACAATTTTTCCAAGCAGGTGCTGCAGAAGACCATCACCAGAAATGAAAATATTTGGACCATAAATATTATGGATGTGTTCATACAATATAACATTTAGATAAAAATATATTCTCAAGTATAGATTCTTTTACTGTTCTCAAAATTTCAAATAGCTAGGATATATGGATGATTTTATGGCCTGTGTTATCGATGCTTCTGCTTTAACATATAAGTGACTACATACTTATTTGTCAAAACAGCAAAAATATGTTAATAACACATGACGTTATAAAATCTTCCATATATCATTAGTAAATGCCAATATATAATTATACAAGAGTCTCAGATTTATGCTGAGAGCTGGCCACGTCACATGCGCCGTTCATGCACAATGTGGCATCCAGAAAAAATGGCGATTGACACTGACATAAATCGACCGTGTTGCCCTATGGATAGCCAGGGATAGCACGTGACTAAACCTTTTTCAGTGTATTTGTTTTGTGAGTCAGCCGTGTTATCTTCAGTGTTGCCAGAAGTAGCGGAATTTTCAAGTGGTAGCGGCGGAATTGAATTTTTTGTTAAAAGTAGGGGAATTTTACAATTTAGGTACACATGATGGATATTTGTACCGAAAAAAAAAATAAGTGCAGTTAGTAACCAAATCTAAATACAGGTATCTTCGCAATCGACAGTGGTAACTACCGGAGACGCGTATAGATGGTAGTACGTGGTAAGAACACGACCTGTGAAGTGCATTTCCAAAGTATAATCAAATTCAAGCGGAAAACCAACTGAAAATGGTATTTACTATTTTGGGTTGGTATTTACCGATCCGTTCAAGCTAGTGTGGTTATCAGTTTGGTTATAAGATCCGTGACGTCATGAATCAGCTGTTATATGTCATAGTTATCACCGTAAAATTGTGGTATTTACCCAACTCAGGAGTTGTTTTATATTTCTGGTTATTATTTGAAATGTGACAAGTTAGAATTTTGACGGGTATTGGATATTGTTATTGTACTTCAGCTTCATTTTTGGTAAACTTGATACAGGCTGACTTCAGTTTTAGTTAGTGGAGCACCTTTTTAGTTATACTCATCACTGTTATTGGGGACACTTTAAATGTAGTTCCTATGCTTAACAAAGTACCTATCCTGTGTAGCCATATACCACAAGAATATTAAAATATGGCCATATAAACTCACTAGATGATGTCCACCTGTATGCAGTTTTGCTAATATCTTTTTTCATTTCTGCTGAATCAATAAATATTTTCTTTGACATGCGGAAAACTTTAGAGAATTGAAAGTTATTATAGCTACAAAGCCATGGTTCCATTATTAAAAAAAAAATTCTGAAAAAGAAAACATTTCTCCCATGAATATTATGAAAGGTTTCTTTTTTAAACTTTCAATACACAGTTGTAGACGAAAAAGCACCGATTATTAAGTGACAATAAAAATAATCAGAGATTATATACGCGCTTTTCTAAAATAAACAACTTTCAACAAAACCGCCGTTAAAACCAACGCGTTCAAGCGATTCGTGTAACTGACGTCATCAACCCGTGTGTCATCTTGAACCATATTATAACCGCGGCACATAACACAGACATTTTGGTTATTCGCTTGGATTTGATTTATGTCTAATAATTTTAAAATTTGCCACATGGTAATGCAGATGTCGACTGGACATTCTCATATATGGAGATAATCAAAACAAAGAAAAGGAATCGTATTTTACCTTCAAGTTTGTTCGCGATACTTATCAAACTGGATACAATACAAACAAATGTTACTGCTTAGAGCTTGGTGAAAAACATTTAAAAAAATGCAAATATAATTTATATAGTACAGAGAGAACAAAAATCAAACAAGAAGAATCTGATACAGACAGTTACTAAGTTTAAGTAACTACAAAACTTAAATTTTTTTATGCAAAACAGAAATGGCCTTTTAGTCATATGCTATTTATTTTTTAGTTTCCTGTGATATTTTTTTAATACGACTGCGTGATAAATGTTCTGTTCTTGACAGTTTTTTTAAAATATTGTATTGGTTTTTATAGCCAAATGTTTTTTTTATTACTGTTTTATGTTATATTTTATCACGCTGTTTGGGTTTTGTTTTCCTTTTTTGACACTACCTGTATAATAAATGCCGCCCTGTTTTATGATAGTGCGCCAATCCCCCCCCCCCTACAAGATGTTAACTTAGCACTTAGTTGTACGTGTTACCAAAACGTCATGAGGCTTTAGGCCCGTATCGTCAGTCGACCCTACAATTGTAGGGCGCGTTTATGGCCTCCTTGATTGTAATACTAATTTCTCTCCTTCAAAAGTTTCTAGATTACACTTGTCCCGTGTCAGCGGCAGCGCTCTCCTATTGTGAAGATTTGTTTTCCTTTTAAATTGTAGGAAATTTCAGGCTGATAAAACATGATATAACTCAAAACCAAGCACAATTTGATGCAAATTGATGTTTGTGACATAACCTCAAAATAGAGCGCTGACACGGAGAAGTAGAAAACTATGACAATCAAGAAGGCCATAAAGGCGCCCTACAATTGTAGGGACAACTGACGATACGGGCCTTAGTTATCAACCTTTGGCTCTGATTTGATGTAAAATCTGCTGCAAAGATGGCATTACTGGAGGACTAAGCTGTAAGTTGTATGTGATGATGATAATTCCATTTGATTCTTATCTCAAATACACTTAATCGAAATTCAAAGCTAGAAATTAGTTGCGCAGCCACTTTTTCTTATCCATTCTGGAAATATATATTCAAATTTGTTGAATTTAAAAAATGAGAGAGATGAAAAATAATTATATTCACTGTACACTGTAGAAGTACAAGCCATATACATGCTAACAGTAATTACACAACACGCGGGTGCGGTGGTGATTTCCCGTAATTCTCCTCAGTTTTTCGTAATTTATAACTTTGAACATAACCTGTCTTCAGAAAGCACAACATATAAATAACCCGTCATATAAGGCATATTCAGTAATGATTTTCTCACACAACACTGATTTTATACACATGCAGACCAATACACATAATCATCCAGATGCGATCTTGCTATTCAAAACCAACTTTCTTTTCAGAGATAAAAACTACAGACCACGGATCACTCAGCCCCACAAAGCTATGCAACCAATAATGCGTAGTTTAGTTGAGTGATTCCTCCATAGATGGACGTTCACAACGATCCTAGTGAGCAAACCTGGAATGACTGTTTGGGCCCTAAAAGCTACTTAGGCCCGTATCATCAGTCGTCCCTACAATTGTAGGGTGCCTTTATGGCCTCCTTGATTGTCATAGTTTTCTACTTCTCCGTGTCAGAACTCTATTTTGTCACAAACATCTATTTGCATCAAATTGTGCTTGCTTTTGAGTTATATCATGTTTTATCAGCCTGAAATTTCCTACAATTTAAAAAGAAAACATATCTTCACAATAGGAGAGCGCTGACGCTGACACGGGACAAGTGTAATCTAGAAATTTTTGAAGGAGAGAAAGGAGTATGACAATCAAGGAGGCCATAAACGCGCCCTACAATTGTAGGGACGACTGACGATACGGGCCTGTAAAAATAAAAAAAAATGTTACCTTGTTTTATAAAGTATCCTCCCGACAAGTATTTCAGTGCGGACCTGTATTTGATCGTGCGGTCTTGGAGCACTGGCATGTCCTCCCCTGTGAGGTCTTAAAAAGCCCCGAGGGGTTGGTTGCACTCGATTGGGAAACCGATCCGCATAAATCCGTGATGCCGCGGCAGCATTTTGTAAAGACTCCCCCCCCGTAAATAAGAATCATGTCCACAAGTTCAGCATTTTCGTAAACATGTGCCATTTTTTATTTCGCTTGAGCCACGCAACAAACACCACTATTCACTCACGCGTTACCGACTGACACATTGACTGAATATAACTGAATAAAATTGTAGTAAAAACATCGTGATAAGCGTTTCAAATTCTTTCGCTTTTTTGTTTCCGATGCGATGAACCGATAAGGCGGATTATATCCGTTGTTGCCAAACACGAGCACACAAATAATATTGTGCTCGTTGAGACAGGGCGGTACTCAAACTTCTTAAGGGCTATAACTTTGTTACTTTAATTTTACCACAAAAATTTTAAAGGAAAAACACATTTCTTTAGATCAGATCTAGTCACTGTTAAAATAAATAACTCAACTTCGAAGTCACCCTGTATATATATATAAGTATAGCAATCTCAGATTTATATGTAGAGCTGGCAACGTTGCGGGATATTAATGCACAATCTGGCAACAATGTCGCACCCTCAAAAAATGGCCGCTGACAACCATACAAGTCACGCTGTTGCCATTGAATAGCATGGAATTAAACCTTCTTCAGTGTATACTGTAACTGTATATGTTTTGTGCGGTGGACAGGACTGCCTTCTTGATAAGGGTTTATATACATAAGGGTATATATTATATATATTGTGAGACTAGGAATGTGAATTAGTTATAGATTAGAGACTACTTTCCAGATGAAATATGGAAGTTGATGAAGCTGTTGTCGATTTAAGTATTGGGTACGTTAAAGTCTGAAATCTATGCATGCCTATATTACACACACACATATAATATATATATATATATATACAAATTCTTTTCATTCTTTTTATACTATGCTCGGTCAATAACTCCATTATTTACTAACACCACTATAGGTCTTTGAGCGGGAATTCAACTGCTTCGACGAGTCCGAAGAGGATTAGACCTGCAGGTCGCGTAGCTACTGAAAAGGGGAACTCTTTTTACCCATAATTAGGTGGTAGTAACTTTTTTGGCTACCTGACGAATGCAAAGTTATTTATGTTTCTCATGTTCATATGGGGAAATCAACCACTTCGACGGGTCCGAAGAAGATGAAACCAAATGCCCTTGTAGCTACTAAAGAAAGGAACACTTTTCAGCTATAATTAAACTTTATCAACTTTTCTGGCTAGGAAAAAATGCACAAAATAATTTTCTCAAGTAAGTGGTGAAATCAACCACTTAAATGGGCCCGAAGAAGATTAGACCTACATAGACTACTAATGTAATAAACTCTTTTCACTCATTTTTATTTTTAAACTGTAGCATCTTTTCTGGCTAGGTGTAAAATGAGGAAAACTGATTCTAAGTAAGGGTGAAGCCAACCATTCCTATTGTGAGGTATGTTGATCTTATCAGAATGAAATCATCAAAAAGTCTGTAATTGGCACAGAAAAAAATTACTGCTGAAAAGTCACTGCTTCTGCAACTTTCACAAATGCCCAGAAAAATTGGCTGCTAGAAACTAGCTGCTGCTTCACACAAGATTCCTACTGTCAGTTAAGGTTTACAACTTGCTGCCTGATAGAATTAAAGGCCTATCAATTTTCAGACTTAAATAGGAAATGAAGGTTATGTTGAGATGTAAACTTTACATTTCATGCTGATCTGCCAATTATTTTTCTGTATATCTTATTTGTTATATCATTGAAATTTGACCTTTTTAAAAAGTAGCTATAACTTCTAACTATTTGATTCAAACATTGTCTTTTATTATATATGAAATATTGCTATTATGACTGATATATTACTTTATTTCTGGTTAGGTAGAAGAGCATGGACTGACAACTAATGTTTGTCAATCAAGCGAACCTTGCTGCTTTGCTGACTGCATCAGAATTATGTTGTTTTTTTCTGTACTTAAAGGAGCAATAAGATGAAATTATTATTATTATTCGATTACATATTCTTGACCTCCTCTAATCAGACAGTATCAGCCACTGAAACTCAACAATCATTATCATCATCAATAAAATTCTCATTTTGTGTTCAGGTTTCACAATACCTATTTAGTTCCTTATAATTGTCATCGAACAACAAATTCATAGCCATCTAAGGAAACAGGTCAATTTAGGACCTGAAAAGTCCATTTAAATGTACAAAATTCCAATATAGCATCTATATGAAAAAACAAAGTAGGTGATGGAATTCGAAATAAGAAATATCGAGTTGAAAATTTAACTATGCGATTTTGTACAGGAGGATACGGTACATTGAGAACATGAAATATATTTTGAAATCCCATCTCATATAAAGTCAGAAAAAAGTAAATCTGGAATGCAAAACAAATGACTATCTGATAACAACTACCTAGGAAATTCTGCTTTATTTGAAATAACAAGAGTTTTGGCAATGTCAATGTATGACGTATTATAAATTTTTGGAATCAGAATTAAAAACTCTATTCATATTTATTACAGTTTCCAAAGAACATATTCATAATATAATGAGTTTGAAAAGGTCTCAGTTGGCATTGATGGGATTTCTAATGATCTATGAGTTACTGCTGTCCTTTATTCTGTCCGGGAGCCCATTCGTCTAAAATCCCAGATGGCACGCAACTTCTAGGATTTATTGTGCCTTGCTCCTCAAATCTATAGAACCCAATCCAGCAGTCTAGTACTGCTGGTACTGTTCTAAACTCCCTCGTTTCTAGTTTTGGTTTCCCAAGGAGTTGATGTCTTTTGTGATCCAGTGGCTTGCACTCGCACAGGATATGTAGGGCTAACTCTGTTCCTTCTCCGCATTGTCTGCAGCTAAGGAGTTCATCATACAGCCCTATTTTGCTCAGTTGTTTTTTCAATAACAATAATTTTTATTTGCAAATACAAATACTATGAAATAGCTGTAAACCACTTGTGATACAAATAGTATCAACCAAACAAAATTAAGGATAAAATCTTGCTATAAAGCATATTATTCAAATCTGTCTTGAAAATGCACTCAGTTTTACAGTCTTTTTCACAACTGCTGGTAAATGGTTAAAAAGTTTTAGATTAGAAAGAGGTCCTTTTTCAAACAATGCTAATCTATGCTTAGGATAAAGCATAAATATAGTTAAAAACTCTAGTATGGTTACTTGTAGACTCATTAACTGTGAACATTCACTTATTTTTAAATTGATATAAGGGGTACTTTTGAATAAACAATCCAAATACTTTTAACATACTGAATTGCTTGAATTTGCCTCTACACGATTTATTCAACTTCAAACCTAAAATATTTCTCAATATTCTCTTTTGTACTACAAAAATTCGCTCAAAGTCAGTACAGCTTCCCAATAACATAATTCCATGTGTTAATCTAGATTCAAAATTTGAGTGATACACAAATTTCAAAGTTTTTCTATCCAAATATTTAGCAATAATTCTTATAGAATAACATAACTTGTTGAGTTTATTTCTTAAATAACTTATATGGTTGACCGATCTGAGGTAACTATCTAATTCAAGACCAAGAAATCTAGTATTATCAGATACTCTTATTGTTATACCATTAAGACAAATTGAATTTTGAAAATTTGCTTTACAGTGAGTTGTTCAAAAAAACAAAGCACAAGTCTTAAGTTTTATTAAGATTACTTAGCCTATTGTTAAAAAACCATGTTTGTACATTGTTCATATTATATCCCCCCTCATCACATGCATTCTCAGGATCTGTAGCAGTTATGAGCAAATTTGTGTCATCTGCATACTTTGTGATTTTGCATACATCTGGTTTGATACAGATGTCGATGTCATTTAAAAAAATTACAAACAATGTGGGACCTAATACACTACCCTGAGGCACCCCTGTTTTAACATTAAGCTCATTCCAAATATCTGTTCCATTACGTCCCAACAGTTTTACTTGCTGATTCTATCCAAGAAAGTGCTGGTCTTCTAATGCCATATCGTTCTAATTTTGGCAATAATATATTGTAATCTAGGCATACACTTTAGTAAGGTTGAGAAAGATACCCAGTACACTCTTATTATTGTTCAAGTCTACTATAATATTCTGAACAAACTTATAAGCAGCTGAAAGAGTTAATTTTCCTTTGATATAACCATGCTCAGTTTCCTTTATCAGGTCATTTAGAGTTAAAAAATTCAATATTCTGTTATTTATTACTATCTCAAATATTTTTGAAAGAACTGATAACCAGCTTATAATAATAATAGATAGATAGATAGATTTTATTTGTTCCAAAAGTAACAGACAAGTTACAATAAAATAAGCTTAAAGCTAGTTATAGAACATTGTTAAAAATTAAGGTGATACCATTTACAAATTCTTTTCATTGCCAATGTTTCAAACCTACTCATACAAGTCAAAGGAGATAACCAGCTTAGACAAAAATAAAGAAAAAAGCACTCACTCTCCAGTTGACGAGAAGGGCTAAGTACGTCTCTGCCCGAAATCATACCGTTCCAACAGAAAATGAAATCAGCTGAAGCGCTACCGAGCAGACGCAGAAGCCAGATTGATTGTCTTACACTTAATGGTACATCTTCTAACAAGGAAGGCAAAATGTTGCGTAATTGCGTGCGGATTTTCTACTGACCAAACATGAGTGTTGCGAAAGTTATTCACCCCATTACGCGTGAACGTAGATTCGTCTGTCACCAATATGCACTTCAAAAAGTCCGGATTATTATCCTGTTGATGCAACAACCACTCACAAAACCGCACTCTTGCTGGAAAATCGTCAGGTTGAAGGGCTTGTACACGTTGGACGTGAAACGGATACAGCCCCTCTTCACGCAGCGTTTGCCACACTTTAGTTTTTGATACTTGCACATCTCTAGCCGCGTCTCTAGAGATTCTCGTCTACGCGATTACCTCTACATGCGTGACCGTAACCATCGGTTGAAGGTTGCATACTGACCTGACACACTGACCCCGACCCAGTTCTGCCGTCGGCTTGAGACCTTGTACCAATCTGTGATGTAACGGGTCGCGGCTACAGGACGGTATTCAGATATTTTTGATGTTGCAGAGCCCTTTATCTCGATTCCCTTAAGACATTGGTGTATATGGTACTAAGAAAAATTGCTTATGTTTTCAAGATCTACACGTCGCGTAAAGGAAAACCCGAACTTTGCGGACATCCTGTATAATTGAATTTTTCAATTCTGGGAAATCAAACTCAGAAATTGCAACTTTGTTAGACTTATCGCGGTACAGTGTGAGAAATATTGTAAGAAGATATAACGTTAATATTAAGCCACGATATGTGAAAAAAAGTAATATCACAAATGCCGACCGAAGAGCATTAAGAAGAATAATCGTGAAAAACAGGCGTGCCAATTATTTACAATTAAGTGCTCTGAGGAGTGACGCTGTTGGAAGGAGAATTTTGAGGTCCACAACTCATAGAGAGGCCCACAAACTGGGATTTAGCACTTGCAAGGTAAGTTTTCTTATAAAAAAAGTGAAGTAAAAACCCTAAAGTTGCACAACTTGTTTATAGGCCAAAAAAAGCCACTATTAACTCCACTGCAAAAAAAAAAATCGGCTTAGATGGGCTAAAGAACATAGACAATGGACACCTCAACAATGGTATGCAATACAATGGAGTGATGAGGCCCGATTCGAAGTTTGTGTTGGTGACAGTCGCAGTAGAGTTATTCTCAAAAAAATCAAGTATTCCATGTTGACTGTATGAAGAAAAAAGTGAAATACTCAGCATCCATTATGGTCTGGCTCAGTGTCATCAAAAGGAGTAGGAAAACTTCATTTTATTGATGGAAATGTGGATACAAACAAATATTTGGCAATTTTAGAAGAATCGCTTTTACCAGTGATGGAAGAATGTTTGACATCCGGCCAAGATTTTGTGTTTCAGCAAGATGGTGCAGCGTGCCATACCTCAAAAAGGGCTATAAAATGGATGGAAGAAAATAATGTACCACATTTGAAATGGGTTTCTAGCAGTCCAGATCTGTCACGTATTGAAACTTTGTGGCACGAGATGAAAAAGGTTCTACGACAACATCCTGCTCGTACAATCACCGAACTGAGACAAAAGCTTCAAGAAATATGGGATTGTTTTACACCAAATTTTTGCCAAAACTTGGTTAACACTATGCCCCAAAGAATTTAAGCCGTAATAAAAAATAAAGGTGATGTTACCCAATGGTAATCTTTCAATTGTTGCTTTGTTAACTTCGCGCATTTATTCGCACATTGTTTATTTGTTCAGATGTTCTATTAGTTATAGGTCTAAGTGATTACAAATATGTATTTTTACGATTAGAATGTATCTAAAATGTTTTTGAGAAAATAAGTTGTTTTAGAAGTGAATAGTTTCGTCATGTTTAGTTTATAAAGGCATATTTTGGTACAAATTTTGAAGTGGGCCAACTGAAGTGGGAAGGGGCTCGTATACTGATCACAGTTAATAGTTTGTTTTTATGAATATCGGTTTACAGCTTTCATCATATTTCATATATATATACTTCTAATACATCTTTTTTGAAGTATTAAAATTCTATCAATGTCTGTGGAATTTCCTCAGAATATTAAACCGTACCTTAATTTTGAGTGTATAAAAGCATGATATCCTGTTACAGCCACAGCAGAACCTACCCTACTTGAAACCGCCCGCAGAGCGTAGCAGTACCTAGATATGTCCGCCGCGAGTCTTTTGACATGCGCTCTCCAGTCCAACCTCCTGTCAATGGTTACTCTCAGAAGAGATATGTTATTGCTGTTTTGAAAAAATGTATTATTATATGAGAAGGTGAGATTGTGTTCAATTCTATTTCCAAAAATAATGCATTGTGACTTTGACGCATTCAACAGAAGGTCATGGCCTGAAAAGTACCTATCAAGAGCATCGCAGGCTTCTATCACACTCACCAGCATACTCTCTGAGTCGTTCTCAGAAAATATTAAGTTGGTGTCATCTGAATAAAGAATGGTGTTTTGACCAGTCACACTACACAACTCATTCGTATACATAGTATATAAAGTAAAGGCCCCAGAAGGACCCCTGAGGAACACCTTTCGTCAACTTAACCCTATCAGATATTATAAGTCTACCACAAGAGTCGAACACGGCTACCTGTTGAGTTCTGTTATTCAAGTAAGATTCTATTAGTCTCAAAGCTGATCCTCTGATACCATAGGTTTCTAGTTTTCTACACAGAGTTTCATGGTTGACGCTGTCAAATGCTTTTGACAAGCGAACGCACACAGCCATAGTTAGTTTATTATCATTCAATGATTCCAGGTTATCAGAGAGTGCCTGATAAATCGCTCTTATAGTAGACCTTCCTCTCCTGAAACCATTCTGATTCTCTGAAATAACTGAGTGCCTCTCCAAGTAGCCTATTAATCTACCATAAATTATTTTTTCGAAAATTTTACTTAAATTGGGCAGATGAGATATGGCCCTGTAATTCTTTTCATCATCAAGATCGTTCTTTTTATGTATGGCCCTAACTACTGCATTCGTCAACAAATCCGGAAATATTCCTGCAGTCAATGATAAATTTATTATATAAGACAATGGTTCACTAATGTAATTTGCAATTTCCTTAATGATTTTTACTGGAACTGCATCATCTCCCACCGACTTCTTATTCTTTAGAGAATTTATTACTTTGAGGACTTCATTCTTATTTGTAGGCTCAAGATAAATTGAACCGACTCATCCTCCGCAGGAAAAGACTTCTCTTTATTAATTAATAATTATTTAAATTATTAACAATACCGAATGGGTCATCATATTTTTGTGAAAAACAATCCAAAACTGAGTTCCTACTATAGTCATTATCCGTTATATTCTAAACTATTCTCCAGGTTGCTCTTATTTTATTTTCAGATTCTCGAATGTAACTCTGGTGAGACATCTTTTTGGCTTCAGTAATAACTTTTTTTAAGATTTTCGAGTAAGTTTTAAAGAATTCATCGGAGATTAATCCTTTTGTTCTTTTATAATAAAGAATTCTTTTATTCCTACAGGATATTCGTATGCCCCTAGTAATCAAATGGTTGTTTTTATTTTTTACATTTATCTTTTCAACTACAAAGATGACATTAAAATAATTTAAGATTATACAGGGTGCGGCAGAGAGGATGGACGGTTTTAAAAAAATCATAAAATAGTTATTTTTTACTCGAAAACAATTTTATTGATGGAATCAGGTTCACAAGGAAATAGCATTTGAGACAGTCAAGTGTGGAAAATCACATCAGGCATGTGGTGGCCGAAATCGTTGATGCAGTGCTGTAGGCGTTCTTGGAAGTTCGCGTAGACTCTCTCCAACATCGCTCTCTCAACTTGGGCGACTTCCATGCGAATTTCGCCCTTCAATTCGTCCAGAGTTCGGGGCTTGAGGTGTCCCCATAAGAAAAAATCGCATATGGATAAATCTGGGGACCGAGGAGGCCAATAAACATCGCCAAACCTGGAAATAAGGCGACCAGGGAAGAGAGGGCGAATAACGTCCATGGATGCTCAGGCTGTGTGGGCGGTCGCCCCATCCTGCTGGAACCACACACGTCGTATTGGAACACGTCGCCGTCGTAATTCAGGGAGAAAGAAGTTGGTGATCATGTCGACGTAGCGCTCCGAGTTCACGGTAACATCACGACCATTACCGTCTTCGAAGAAGTAAGGGCCAGCGCACCAAACCGTTACTTTTGGGCTGTGCAGCGGTCTTTCGTGTAACTGTTGCGGATTTTCATCAGCCCAATAACGACAATTCTGCTGGTTAACCATTCTGTTTAGGTGAAAGTGGGCTTCGTCACTCATAAACAAAATGAGGTTCTCATTTTGATCGATCAGTGATTCCATCTCACGTGCGAAGTTCATTCGTTGTGCATAATCTCCGGGCTGTAACTGTTGCACAATGGCCAATTTGTAGGGGTGAAAGCGGAGATCCATATGCAAAATTCGCCTTACCAAACGATCACTAAGGCGAAGTGCAGCAGCATGTTTCCGGGCATATCGAGTCGGACTGCGAAGAAAGACCTGTCGAACGCGTTCAACATTTTCAGGAGTTCGAACTGTTCGCGGCGCTCCTCTTGGTCTTCTGTTGATCAGTTCACCATGCCTGCGAAGTGATTCAACCCAACGAAGGATGGTGTTTCGAGAGGGAACAGCTCTATTCCGATGAATGTTGAAGTAGCGACGAAACTCACGCTGTACGACGATGACTGACTCATTATTTCGCGCGAAACAATCATAGGCGAAAACGCGGTGCTCCACCGTCCAAGGCTCCATAACGACAACTGGTAAAATAATGCTAGGATCTCACGAGTCAAACGGCACCCTCCCCACCTCTCTCGTAGACGGAGGCGGAGAGTACTACCCATCCCAAAAACGTCCGTCCTCTCTGTCGCACCCTGTATTTAGAAAACTGCAATAAGCATCATTGACATCCTGAGAGCCATAGACCTGTGAAAAATCAGTCTGCTCAATCTCTTGTTTGAATGAAACTATTTTACTCTCGGACAGACACTTCTATAGATGAATTGTCTAGTTCTCTGTGGAACAGATAGACTATTTGCATTTATGACTTGTGCATGATGATCAGAGAGAGAAGAGTTAAGTACATAGCTTGAAAATCCAACGTTAAGATTACAAAATATATTATCTAGGAGTGTTGACGAATGCAGAGTCCCACGAGTAGGTTTTATTATACACTGATTCATATCATAGCTTGCAAAGAGATCCAAAATAACCCTAACATGTTGATTGTCTTTTTCTAAAAAATTTACATTAAAATCCCCAGCAATAATTATTTTATATTTAGAGTAATGCTTATCTATAAATTCCAAAACCTGCTCAAGCCTATTTATAAAGGCTTGGTACATCACAATACCCCTGCGATATACACATAAGATAAATACTTTTGTATGGTCCTCAGATACAGCACAAAGTTCTAAAATTCCCTTTATACTCTTGCTGGAGACTGTCTTTATGTCCTTAAAACTGTCACTAATATCACAGTCACAAAAAATGCATTCCCCTCCATGTTTCATTTTTTCTTATTATAATAGGAGACCAGATTGTAGCCGCCAATCTTCACCATTGTTATATCTTCCTCCTCAAGCCAATGTTCACTAAACAGCAGCACTCTAGGACGACAGGCTAATCTCTCCAGAAAACATTCAATTTCTAGAGATTTGTTCTTCAGTGATTGTATATTTTGATGCATAACAGTTAATGTCTAGTTGGCAGAGGAATAACTGTTTGACACTACCATGCCCTAGGGCTGCTATATTGTCTCGGGACAATACTGTATTTTGGACATTTCCCTTTCTTGAAGTCGCAGAAGTGTTGGGCAGTTTACATCAAACACGCTATGACATACATCCATGCTCAGTTTATATTTCTGATTATTCAGTGCGCAATTTATACATTCTGGTTTTTCTTTTTTACAGTCTTTAGCAACATGATCCCTGCTTCCACAATTTCCGCTACACTTCTGCTCCTTACAGTCCTTAGCTGTATGATTATATTGGTTGCAGTTAAAGCAGCGAGTTAAATCTATATATTCATAACAATGTTATGTTCTGTTATTCATTACCATCTCAAATATTTTTGAAAAAAACTGATAACCAGCTTATAATAATAATAATAATAATAATAATAATAATAATAATAATGTTTATTGGCAACATACAGTTAGGTAAAAACTAATAATAGCAAAATACATTTAAATGAGATATGTTACAAAAAAGGGCTGAACGCATTTAAAAATGTTACAAGTTCAGTCCTGTAGCTATTACACACTTATATTTAAAAAAAGAAAGATCTATCCTAGAAAGCCCCGAAAAATAAATGTGAGCTATAGTACAAAAACATTTTTTTACTTCAGTTTGGTCGCTTGTACCTCATTTACATTAATGTGCAGTGAAGTGTTTTTCAAAAATATTTTTTTTTATATTTGATTTTAAACTGGTTTTTTCAAGTCATTAAGAATTTGATTATAGAGCCTATAAATGTTGCATGATAAAAGATCTTCAAAAGTGAGAGGTTTGATGAGGAGGTGATATGTGCCCCCGAAACCGCAAATTCAAGTTATTAAGTTATAAACATCGGTGCGAAAAGTTATTCTATTTAATAAATATGGTGGTTGCTTAAAAAACAAAATTAGACAAGATTACATGCACGCAACTTACATCGACATTCCATATTCAACCAGTTTGCATCAAGCAACTTATGTGAAACTCTTTCAAGCTTACGTAGACAATAAATAAATCGTAGGCAGGACTTCTGTATACGCTCAATTCTATCTATGTCAATCTTGTCTAGGGCCCCATTGTCAGTCGTCCCTACAATTGTAGGACGCGTTTATGGCCTCCTTGATTGTCATACTCTTTTCTCTCCTTCAAAAATTTCTAGATTACACTTGTCCCGTGTCAGCGACAGCGCTCTGCTATTGTGAAGATATGTTTTCTTTTTAAATTGTAGGAAATTTCAGGCTGATAAAACATGATATAACTCAAAAGCAAGCACAATTTGATGCAAATAGATGTTTGTGACATAACCTACAATTGTAGGGACGACTGAAGTTACGGGCCTAAGAGTACAGATTTGACGTTTATTTTGGAAATCTACTTGCCTAACACAGTAGGGGTTTTCCGTCGCATAATAGTACATGTTATGCCTGTTGGCAACACCTATGCTGTTAAAAGTTGCCTCATCGCTAAAAAAACCTTATCCAGGCAACTAGTGTCTTCACTCACTTTATTTAGCATTATTCTACTAAACTCCATTCGAGCGAA